TCATTTTTGGGGACAACTCCTAGATTGAGCGCTGCAAAAAAGAGTACTCCTCTCTTCACTCATCCTAGTTCAGTGATTTATACAACAGTGTAGTTAGTAGAGGAGATAGCACCGCTTGATATTTTCAGGTTGCCACTAGAAACTTAGTTGATAGGTGAAAAGGCTGGGGTTAATGTAGTTGGGAGGGACGTCACCGGATTCTTCCTACACTGAGCGCTAGAGCGCAGAGAAGTGAGCTAGCTTTACGTGAGCTCAAGGAAGGTCCATAGTAACAAGAGTATAGTTGTTACCTAAGCCTTATCAGGGAGTTGGGGGAGCACTGGGGTGGGTGAGAGGAGTTTTTTGGGCAAAAAGCTGGGATCAAGTAGGAATCGGACATTCCAGTTGACTCGTCCATCCCAGTGCTGCTTCAACTCAAGAAAAGGTTTTTTCTGCTGAGCAATGTTCCTAAGCACCATTATGAACTCGCGAAGTCGGCTACTCTCCTTCTCTGCGCTCTAGCGCTCAGTGTGGGAAAGAACGCCCCCCCCCCTCGCCCCTCCCCTACATTTCCACCAAAAGGCGATATTTACTTTTCGCTTTTTTATTGCGTTAGTTAAGCAACACACTCAATTGTGTTATGCTCCAGTTGCCACCCCGACGCAAGCGTTCCATTCGACCGCAACATCCAATCGTTCATCTACAAAAATCAAACAAGAACCCATATCTGCAGGGCGAAATTCTGAAGACGGTCTCGAAGAAGGATGGCAGAAACGTATGGTAGACGACGTTACCATATGATACCATACGATATCATATGATCCGATGATCTCATTCTTCCTCAACATTTATTGTTTCGATTGTGAACTAGTCTGTCGCGAATACATCAGCAATCCGGTTATCATTCCTTCAATCCATCTCAATGGGTCAGGCATTTAGCGTGTCTCTAAGAATTCTATGTGTTCAAGTACTGTCTCCATAAATCTTTGTTAACAGCTTGTTGTATTCAGGTACCGAGCGGGTTTTCAGGTGGAGTAAGACATAAATTGAGGACTTACTTTCCGATGCATTCGTCTTTTCAGAGGCCTGAATGCATGTCTCTTGGTGTTTATTGAGGGCTGTTATTTCGTCGCAGCATGCGAAGCGAAAATCTTACAAAGTTGGCAAGTTGCGGACAAAGCCTCGGTTAGGGACTAAACTGAAAGCTAAAACATATAAACCATCGGAAGGATCGCGGCAGTGTAAGGGATGAGGGCCCGGTGCCCGGACTCAAGTCCCTTCGAGGCCGTAGTTTGTCCATAATTCACCAACCTTGTAGGCCTGCACGCTATCCAACAAACTCCCGATCCCTCTATTAAACGTGAAAACGAAGTCGAAATCCAGATTTGAAAAATGACTTACATACCAGAGATCCATCGCTCAGGCGGGCATAACCCGTCATTGCCACCGTAGAGACGAGACTTGACACAGCAGCGAATGAGACTTCCTGCTGTTTCACTTATACTTATGATAGCAAAAATCACGTTACGGTGTCACTGAGTCACAATTCGTTTAGTTAGTCTAATTTAGCTTATGATTTAAATTTTTAATTAGTCCAATAATAGGATTACTTATTAGTCGTACCATAGTTCTGATTCGTAGCACAGTTGCTGAAGGGTTGGATCAAGTAATACTGGAAAGACTGACCCTGGGTACTGCGGGTTTATGCATTTTGCAAAGTGGTATAATAGTAGAGGCCGCAAGACGGGTACCCTATGCTATAAGATAGGAAAAAGTAACAGGGACTTATAAGGAGCAGTGGAACCCTAGCACTATGAGATGTGAGACTTTATTTCCGTTCAGTTTCAGTTTATCGTTCCTCTTTCATTCGAAATCGTAGTGAACTTTGGACAAGAATGTGACCTGTACAACGTAACGAACGACGAAAAGTTGAGAGTTTGTTTGGTTCGTAGGCAATTGGTGGCAGGGGTGAACAACTGGTAAGGGCGATAGGGAACTAGAGGAAGTGGGAACCACTGTGTTAGTTGCTCTACTGGTGTTAATAAAGGAAACTAGTAACATCGAAGAGTGACGTGGGATCCGTTGTGATCACGGGAGGTCAGTAACAGGAACTAGTAGCAGCTAATAAGGGATGTCACTCACCATTAGATCACTTCCTGTTTTCCTATGTATGCAGAGCATTGCTAAGCCTACGTCAGGGTGTGATGAGGGTGTGACTGGATGGCAGATAATAATTTACAGAAAGTATCATTTGCTGATAAAGCTGGTGAGGAAGTTGAACTTTTTGGGAAGTTTAAGGTCCCGACCTTCGGCTGCGTGTGTGGACTGCTAAGGGTGCAAATCTACATCGGAAGAGCCACTTAAGTTTGATTTTTCAAGGATTACTTCCTATGCCACATATGTAGCTGAGTAGTAGAAGGACGATTTCCAGTTTTGGCTATTCATAACACCATTCTGTCTAAGTTTTCACGAAATGAAACAGTTCATATCCGATAGAAGTTTTTTTCGGACACAACATAGCCATTTCCCATAATAGACATGTGCACTTGATGTCATCCTTGTAGATCAATTCATTTTACTTTCTGGTAATTTCCACAAGATCGATACCTGCCGACCTTGACAGTTGCTGTTAATCGTCGGTAGCAAATACCTCCGTCATCTTCCTCAATTAATCATTCTTTTTCTTTCGTGATACTTGAATGATTACACCTAATTTCACTGCATAAGCTTCTTACTATTTCATCCAGTAACCAGTTTGACTGGTGGTCCACCCAATCAAATCTCAAGGATCACTGAGAATCATCTAATCGGTTGCAGCGCTCAATTTCTCTTTGGCTATGAATCTCCTCGGTGTTTGTTCTCATATTTCGCTGTAATCAACCAAAACGGTGATTAAGTCTTCTAAATTAAATACAAAGGGCTTTCAAGATAAGATCTTCTAGAGAAATCTGGTAATCACACACCCTTTATCGTTCCAGTCAGGCTTTACCAAACCTGAGCAGAAGCTTAAGAGGATTTACCCTTAATTCTGGTAATTCCATTCAAGCAGTTTCCCAGATGTTTTGATTTGAAGTTTCGTAAATTGCTGTTATTCGCCGTTCCGAAAGTCTCATAAGGATGACGATTTATGGACAAAACTTCAGTCTCGGAGGGGACTCGATCCCGTACTTGTGCTTTCCGGACACCGTGCTCTATCCCTTACATTACCTTCTTACTGTTGACTGAAGTTAAGAAGGCGAGGACAAGCGGGGTCTCGGTAGTGTAAAGGATAGAGCACAGTGCCCGGAAAGCACAAGTTCTGTTTCGAGTCCCGTCCGAGACTGGAGTTTTGTCCATAAATCGCCAACCGTGTGAGACTTCAAGTTACCTAAATGTATCGGGTTCAGCAATAGGGCAGACAGTTCTTACAGGAACTACCTCAAGTCTTGTCACATGCCAGTACTACAAAGTACAAGTTGATGAATTACCTGTTTATTACTTTTTTATCGAACCAAGGTCGAATGACGAAACTGGAGCCAAAACTTCTAACGAAGAAGTAGTTTTGATTGTCGTAAACATTTCCAGCAGTATTTCCCAATCTAGTCGACCCTTTCTGCACAGCCCGAACATCGTTAGCAATTTTACTGGAACGCTGATTTCGAGCAAACTTCTACCTTCCATCTGGGTTTATGGGTGCACTCGTTCAGGAAGGATAGACTCATTTTTACATTTCGATCTGATCTATCGAGTATTTATCAACAACCAGTTAACACATATCACCCATCGTCTGCCTATCCCACCCGATCCTAACCCTTGCTGTAGTATTTTGGGCTCCCTCATGCTCAAGGAAGTGAGGCTTATATCAATTTTTTCGCCAAATGGGCTAGCCCACGAAAGGCTTCCAGGCTCTGACGTGGGGACTGGGGCATCCATAGAAGCCGGATGGCTAGCCAGGCTATCCAGAGTGGACAAGAGACGACTTTGTTCAACAAGGAGATTCGTTCGTATATTGCAAGGGAGTTGTTCGAACATTGAGCTATTTTTTGTAGTTTTTGCAGTGAGCTTATTCATCTTGTCATTGTTTTTGTAGTATGTCTCAAAACAAAAGAAATCATGTCTTCAGTGGGCGGATGGTTATTTATTTACACCTTCAAGTTATTTACTGTTTGGAACCGACACATCACTTGTTATTTTAATTCAAAGCCCTGCTTCTTGTTAACTCTAGTATTTCCTAATGACCCCATATGTGATTTTTCCTTTTCTTTTTTCCCTTTTGGCGAAAATGCTCAGTTTACTCCAGTCTTGGTTTCAATTCCGTCACAATTTGGGCATATCCCTTTCGGATGAGTTTGTCGAAGACGAACGCCTCCAGAACGAAAAACTGCATACTTTCTCGGATAGACTCCGAAAATGGAAACATCTCTATGCGCTCGCAAATTGAGTAGAGCCACCATTCAGAGTTCCAGGGAATAATGCTTTCTTGTTGGACTTCCCAGCGACTTTGCCCTTTTCCGATTACATTTTTTATTATCCTGCCGCAGAATCATAATAAAGCCATCCATCAAGACGAATGTGATATCCCGTTGGAGTAAAATGGAAGATGAGGTAGTAAAAAATGAGTAGGGAGTGGGTGGGATCACGGGTGGTATAGGTGAAAAGAGGGCATGATCACGAATGAGAAGTATTTATTATCTACTTACTTATTAGACACAACCGTTTCCTTTGCGGATTACTTCTGTCATTATGGCGACTTTTTGAAATGTAAGAACTTCTTGTTTGGTAAGTATCAGGTGGTCATAGAATAGCACCCCCATGTGCTTTGCTCATTTTAATCGAGTGCGCGCCGCGCATCCGGTATGTGCTCAGTTTTGGCATTTCGTTTGAACATGTGTTGATCAGCCACACAAGTAAACTTTCCCAGCGAGCCTTTTATCGAAAAAACTTTTCCATCCGCAAGTTCGCTTAAAAGAACCTTCATGGAAGAAATTAGGCTCGTGTTTCTTGTCGTAATTCAATCTCATAGACCGTGTCTATTACATTTGGAACCTCGAGCCAGTGCCAGGATTAAGCTTATCTGCAAGGAATACCGGTCACCACCACGAACTACTTAGTTTCAATTCCTTTCCCCTCTACAAAAGTACGCTCCAACATGATTCCACCCAACTCCTTTCATTATTGAGCCCCTTTGCTTGCTTCATTAACAAATGTTCCTGCATTCTCTGTATTTTGCAGCGACCGACCAACGATGACTGAGGAGGAGGAGGAGGAAGACTGGTGTGGCAGGGGGAAGGGTGCAGGTCGAGGGCAATGGAAATGAAATGGCAGCCCTTACCACCTGTGACGTAAGTACGACCACGTGGACCAGGATATCTTCAACCTCCGCGTCGATGTTAACTAGTGGGCTAAACCCGGTCCACTCCCCTATGTAATTCCATCAAAAGTATGGAATGCTCAGCACTTTCCAAGTCTGTCATGGTGACCCCAGGGAAACATGTCGTACCTCAAAGATATCAAAATAGAAAAAAGTCGAACAGTCAGGATCCAACACATTAGGTTGCCGATTGCTCTGAGATATCTTTTGCATGCAAGTACGGATTTCGTCGTCCACATTGCTTTCAATTCACAGTTTCCGTCAGAGTCCTTTTCAAAAGTAAAAGTTGAAAGTACGAGTGCGTCATAGAGAATTGCCCATTGACACATTTCAAGCGTATTCTTTGTGGGCTCAATTGTGCTGGTGGGCGTATCCACTCATATGAGCGATGAAAAAAATGACAGCCATTTCCAATATGTACCAGCCGCTTGATG